AGCTCTTCACATGAGTTAAACTACTTCTGGCTATCATACATAGACCTCTGTGGTTGAAAAGAGGCAGAAGTGTCTGAAAAGCGGGAACTCTGGCAATCGACCTCATCACATTGAGAAATTTCCCCTTGAAAGGACACTTCAGCCTCTTTCCAAGCATGGAGAGGCGTGGAGCTTATCACATGTTCCAGGGTTGAAAAGAAGCAGAAATGTCCTGAAAGGAGGGAACTCTGAACATGAGCCAGCAATTGTGTTAGAACTCCTACCTCTTATCACATTTTACTCCCATGTTTACAACTGAAAAACAAATTTCCCATCATGTTTCATTGCCCAACCATCAGCAATGGTTTTAATTTGGATCACTGTCTCTTGCATCCTATGAGCTTTGATACAGAACCATAGGATTCATTGGAAAGCAATGGTTTTAATCTGAATTATTGTCTCTTGTATCCTATGGGCTTTGATGCAGAACTATAGGATCTCATGGAAAATAGTGGCTTTCAACTTTAATACTGTATAAGGGGCTTTGGTCAGGGCAAGGAATCTCTTGGTTTTTTGGATATTGTTGTTTCTCCTGATTAAAAACAAAAAAGTAATACTGACCATGTGATGAATGTAAGATTAATGTATTGACAGCTCTTAAATTTCTGCGTGTGAGTATGAGTGTGTGCATGAATGTGAACGTGAAACAGGATTGTTGACAATATAAGAGGGGCAATTCTCTACTTTTAAAGGGACGGTCACCCATGCTTTCCCCTCTCAATGTGATGAGATAGATAATCCAATGCTCACCCCACTGGTTTGAAAGATATATTGATTGCACCAATAATAAAGGTGAATAAGACTTTTTTTTAAAGGACTAACATATATGAAGGGCTAGCTATGAAACAAATGGTTGTGAATGGTCAGTGAAAATATGATTAACGTATTGCTGAATTCTTGCGTTTCATCACTTGTGATGATGTGTTTAAAAATAAAACAAAAAACTGTCTAGGCTCTTTAAAACACTCTTGAAGTGAATACCCAGAGGAATGAAACTGATTAATAAAATCATTTTAAAATCACAACAAACAATGAAGTGATACAATGAAAATGCTTTATAATAATTTATATGTAATAGGATTATCACTGAAGTTTTAATCAATTTACTCCCATCCTAACTAAGCTCCATCTAGAAATGTGAGCAAAATCTGCCACTGAATCCACAGGTATCAGATTTTCCCTGTTTTGAAGTCCTGCTATGCTGGAATGCCTTGTCTCAACAGAAAAAAAGAAATAATGGCATGGCATGAAGGATTCACTTTCCTCAAAATTTACATTTTCATATGTCTCCCTAGAAAATATTGTGCTGCTTTGCAAGTGATAAATGATAAGGAAAGAAAGGGGAGAAGAAGTACATTTTTGAATATACATATCTGACCTTGACAAATGTATAGAACTTTGCATGTTATTTTCTGCCCCAATATAATAGTGTCATTAGTATTATGAGTCATTAATCTGAAGCAACAAAATGCCACTAAACTTTCTCTCTGTTTTCAAAAGTCTTGTTTTTTATCTTCACTCTCATTAAATTCATTTATTTATTTATTTACCGTATTTATATACCGCCTTCCTCAGCCCGAAGACAACTCAGGGCAGTTTACATTCGGCACAATTCAATGCCCCCCAACATATAAGTACAATTAAAAACATTAACGTATAAAACATGAATTCATAAAAAGTCAATAAAAGCATAAATCCTTAGTGTCTCCTTACTGAAATCACTATTCCATCGCACCTGACAAACCATCCTCAGAAGAGAGTTGTTTTTCAGAGAAAGACTGTTGAGGGTTTCTCCCAGGAATGTAACGTTGTAAATCTGTAGGAGAAACACCTAGGGCTGCTCACCAGGGCTTAAGTCAGGCCCAGGAAAACCCTCATTGCCAGTGCCAACAGACCCAGGCCCAGAAAAACCCATCAACCCCATTACCATCATGAACATCAGACACAGTCACAGGCTGAACTATAACAAACTGCCATAGTTATATGATATGTAATTATGGGAGTTAATGTTAGCCTTCTCTACTTTGGTATTGTTTGCATAATTCTATAGCATTGAACCATGGAAGTTAAAGGGGTGTCAAACTGTATCCATTCTACCATGTATATGCAACCTAGGGCCCTTCCAGACAGACCTTACATCCCAGGAGCTGATCCCTGCTATGAACCATCACAAAGTCCAAGATCGACAGGAGAGGCCCTGCTCTCGGTTCCACCATCCTTGCAAACATGACTGGTGGAGACAAGAGAAAGGGCCTTCTCAGTGGTGGCCCCTGGCCTGTGGAACTCTCTACCCAGTGACATTAGATTTGCCCCCCTCCCTTTTATCCTTTAGAACGAAGCTCCAAATCTGGCTATGGAACCAAGCATTCGAACAGTAGAGGCAGCAATTTAGAATGAGACCCAATTTGTGTGAATGATAATGGACTGACCTGGACTATGATTTCAAACCTACATGATTTAAACAATGTTTTAGTATTTTTAAAGCATTAACTAAATGTTTTAATTGCTTTTATCATTTATTACTGTTGTTGGCATTGACTGAATGTCTGCTGTGAAGCCGCCCTGTCCCCCTCCGGGGGTGAGAAGGATGGGATACAAATATGCAAAATAAATAAACAAATAAATAAATATCTGTGTAGTGATGTTGGTTATGCATATGTATCTCCCATACAGGATCCCAGCTGTAGAAATCTGTTGAAAAGGGAGTTAGCAGAACAATATGGAACACTCACCATTTAATTCTCCTTATTTGAACAAGAACCTCACTAAAAACATGAGAACAGTGGAATGGTTCATTTCTCCGCTCCAGTTGCTAATGCAGCAGTTCTATTTAGTTGCTAATTACACACTGAATTTTGAATGAATTATTATTTTTAAAAGTAGGGATGGAAAACAACAGGTCAAAGTCCCATGTCCCTCATCCTGGAACAACCAATGGACCATGTACATCCTGTATACTAGTGTAGTGCTGCCAAAATTTAGTAGCAGATTGCAGAAAGTCAAAGCACCTTGGAATTGGGTTGTTGTAGGTTTCTCGGGCTATATGGCCATGTTCTAGAAGCATTCTCTCCTGACATTTCGCCTGCATCTATGGCAAGCATCCTCGGAGATTGTGAGGTCACAACCTCTGGAGGATGCCTTCCATAGATGCAGGTCAAATGTGAGGAGAGAATGCTTCTAGAACATGGCCATATAGCCCAAGAAACCTACAACAACCCAGTGATTCCAGCCATGAAAGACTTTGACAATGCACCTTGGAATTCTTGCTTCAAATGAGTTGTTCTGTCTTTCACTGAAATTCAGAGGCCAACCATGGCACTTCTTTAAAACAAAAAGGGCATTTCCTACTTGCTTTAGAAGGCTTTTCATAGGATGGTTTTGGGTAGGACTGGAGTGCCCCTTTCCACTCCAATATAGCCTTGATGTTTTGGATGGAATTTGTGGCCTGTATGCTGACCTTGGATTTTTAAGTATGGCCTGATCTGATGCCATAAACAGAAAGGGAAGGAAGCATCGGATTGTTGTAGGTTTTCGGCTATATGACCATGTTCTAGAAGCATTCTCTCCTGTCATTTGACCTGCATCCATGGAAGGCATTCTCAGAGGTTCTGAGGATGCTTGCCATAGATGCAGGCGAAATGTCAGGAGAGAATGCTTCTAGAACATGGCCATATAGCCCCAAAAACCTACAACAACCCAGTTATACAGGCCATGAAAGCGTTCAGCAATACATGGAAGAAAGCATAGTTCAAGGCACACAACACTATGTAACTTTATTTTTATTCCTGGGTATAAATGCCATTTCCTAATTGCTTCTATCATAAAAACATGGGAAACGTTTATTAAACTGCAAAAAAAAAAAAAAGCTTTTGCTATAGTTTTTCAGTGAATATCTCACAGAGTCTCAACCAATTCAACATAGTTAGTGGCAGCCACAAAAATGAAGTTTCTGGAATATAAGAACTACTTTCAAAGTAACTACTACACAATTAAACAGGAAATAACAGTTTCAAACCAGGTACAGAAAATGTTTCAAATTTTGTTACATAGTGTGATACTCTCCAGTAAGCGCTAGGTGAAATATAGCTGAGTGCTTTCCTGGAACCAGGGGTGCATCAGCTTTGCAGAATTACTAATTTGATACCACTTTAACTGACATGGTTCAATGCTATGGATTCTTGGGATTTGTAGTTTTGATTAGGCACCAACATACTTTGGCAAAAAAGGCTACAAACTTTGAAAACCTACAACTCTCATGATTTCATGCCATTGATCCATGGTAGTTAAAGTGATGTCATACTGTATTACTTTTACAGTGTAGTAGATGTACCCATAAATGCATCTACAATATACCGTATATACTCGGGTATAAACTGACTTGAATATAAGCCGAGGCACCTAATTTTACCACAAAAAAACCTGAAAAAACATATTGACGAATATAAACTGAGGATGGGAAATGCAGCAGCTAAATTTCAAAATAAAAATAGATACCAATAAAATTACATTAACTGAGGCATCAGTAGGTTAAATGTTTTTGAATATTTACATAAAACTGTAATTTAAGATAAGACTGTCCAACTCTGATTAAATCATTATTCTAACCTTTTACATTATTCTAAAATGTAATAGTAAAAATAGAGTAAAATAATAGAATAAAAACCATGGAGGAAGATAATAAATGGAATAATAATATAATAAATAGAGTAAAATAATAAATGGAATAAAATAATAATAGAGTAAAATAATGTAAAGGTAATAATAATAATAAATAGAATAAAATAATAAATGTAATAGAAACAACAACAACAACAACAATAATAATAATAATAATAATAATAATAACAGTGTAAAATAATAAATAAATTTGACTCATGTATAAGCCAAGGGGGGCTTCTTCAGCCTAAAAAAAGCTGAAAAACTCAGCTTATACTCAAGTATATACGGTAATAAATGCACCATTAGAAAGAGGCTACAGCACTGGACTTGATGGGCCATAATAGGGCAGGATGCTGGCATCTTTGGAGAATTTTAATCCAAGCCCCTTTCACATCCTTGTTCTTCAGGCTGTATATTATGGGGTTGAATAAAGGAATGACAATGCTATAGAAGATAGAGATTATTTTATCCTGGCCTGGGGAATGGCTAGATTCGGGTCTCATGTACATATATATGGCAGTACCATAAAAAAGGGCCACCACAGTCATGTGGGATGCACATGTGGAGAAAGCTTTATGCTGACTTTGTACAGATTGGATTTTCAAAATGGAGGAAATAATGAAAATATAAGTCATGATGATGAAGGCGATAGGGATGAGTAGTGTGAAAATGCATCCCACAGAAGTGACCTTCTCAACAATGTAAGTGTCAGTACATGCCAGTTTCAGTAATGCTGGGATTTCACAGAAAAAATGGTCAATTAAATTGGGCCCACAGAATGGTAACTGCCAGGTGAGGACCATGTGTGCCACTGGCAAGATAAGTCCACTTGTCCAGGAGGCTGCAGCCAGGTTAATGCACACTTGCTTGTTCATGATAGATGTGTAGTGCAGTGGATGACATACAGCTACATACCTATCATATGCCATCACTGCAAGGAGGAAACATTCTGTTGTGGCTAAGATCAGGAAGACATACATTTGTACAGCACAGCTAGCCAGTGAGATGGGTTTGCTTGGACTCTGGAGGTTAACCAACATCTGAGGGACTGTGCTGGAAGTGTAGCAAATGTCCACGCAGGCAAGGTTGCTCAGGAAGAAATACATGGGTGTGTGCAGTCGTGAGTCCAGGCAGATGAGCATCAATATAATGGCATTGCCTGCTAGAGTGATGGCATAGGCTGTAGAGAAAAGTCCAAACAACAAGAGTCGGATCGTCAGGCTCCTGGCGAGTCCAAGTAGGAGGAATTCAGTCACAAATGTTTCATTGGTCATGATGCCTCTCCGGTCTCATTTCTGGATAGAAAAGAAAAGATTGCACAATGCCTTGATTCACACCTGTAGCATGAAAAGTACTGGTCATACTTACAAGCATAATTCACATCTTCAGGCGATCTCTTTGATTCATAAAGGCAGTGTAGAAGGGCCCTAAGTGGTGGTGGAGTGAGAGAGAGGGCCTCCTCGGTGGTGGGCCCCCACCTCTGGAACACCCTTCCAAGGGAAATAAGACAAGCCCTCCCCTCCTTTCGTAAGAGTTTGAAGACCTGGTGGTTTCAACAAGCCTTTGAGAATGACCCATTCTAGTCCAACCCAAACATTGTTGAATATGGCCTTGCACTCTTAACTATTACCCCGATCATCCCTCTAATAGGCCCTGGAAATGAGCAGCCACAGACCCGTACCTGCTATTGCCGTTAGCCTGTTACTTACTTATACTTACTTAGGCGATCCCTCGTTGGACGAGTAAGATGGTCTTCCATTATGGATTTCCTTGTGGGTCCGTATGTGGCTGTGGAGCCCTATTCTTGCTCTGCATCTCTTTCCGCAGTGAGGGCATTGGTTTCCAGGTGGAAGGTGGTCCCAGTC